AGAACTCTGATAATTGCTTAATTATTTATGGGATCAATATTGGTCTTGGGAGACCAATCACTCATGCATCCACCTGACAGTCAAGAGTCTGCAGACCTACTAGGAGAGAAACTTATAAATTGGCCCACTAGAGTTTTTCCTGTGCAGGAAGATCATAATAAAACCCTGACACCTGTTTATCGCTAAATTGCCTAGAAAGTTGTTGTTACTGTCTCAAGAATTACTTCCAGGTCTACAATTAGGTTACTATCATACAGAACAGAACCAAAATGGGGGCACTGGATGTGGTGAAAAAGGAAACCAAGGGATAAGCAAAATCCAGATCAAGCAAGGGATTGTCCTTTGACGTTTGGAACTTATTCATAAACACAAGATATAAAAAAGATGAGGGGGGTGATCACATTTACATTTTATAAAGATCAGTCTTTCTAGAATATGCTATTCATATAAATATGTGAGTCACAAATACAAGCAACAGATTTAATGTAAATTTTCTAGCAGCCACAGTAAAAACAAGTAAAGAGGATCAGGTGAATTAATTATAATGCTATAGTTAATATAATCCAATATACTGACAGTGTTTTCATTTTAACATGTAATGAATGTAAAAAAAAATTACTCAGTTGTTCATCAACTTCAACTCAATACTATGATTTTCTAGAATATCAAGGTGCATTGTTAAAAGTTCCAATGACAAGGGTTTAGTATTTTTTTTTTACAATTTCATGGAAAACAACTTGAGAACTTCCATTTTCTTCTTATAAGATTATAGTTCAGAATGTACTATGTTTAATTTCTATGAATATGCTTTCTTATTGATGAAGGCCTGCATAAATAAGAAATGATACGTCATTCAGAAATGCAATATTTTATCTGTTGGTGACTCCCTCCAACCAAAAAAGCAAAACACAACTGAAGCTTCTTTTAAAACAACTTATCAAAGACACAGAATTAACATTTTTTAAGGTGGCTTATCTCTTATAAAAATGTAGGGGTTTTTTAAACGTGAAAACCCAAAAGGCTGAAATAAAGGCATTTGAATTTCTCCAAATTCAAATATAATTCATTTGATCATTAATTCTATCAGTGTCTGAAAACAATCTTATGAAGAGATACTATAATTATGCCATTTTACAGGTGAGGAAACTGGATGAAAGACATACATTTAGCAAGACTCTAATATTACCTTGAATGTATTTACAAATTGAATCCTCAGAGTATTTGTTATCCTACTGATATAATTAACTTGTTACAATGACAGTGTCATTAGAGCAGCTAAAATTTATTCAAAGTTTCTTGACTGCTAGGCATTGTTTTAAATGCTTTACAGATCCAAACCTAATCCCCCAACAGCCCTACAGGTAGATACTCTTACTAGCTCCATTTTTTAAATGAGGGAATTGAAAGATAAATTCTAAAAAAAAAATTTTTACTAAGTTGAAATGCTTCACGTACTGTTCTCAAGAATGTTTGAAAATAGTCTAATACATATTTTATTAGTTTGTAATGGTGGTTGCAAAAGCAGCTACCATCTGTGGAGGGCTTTGGAAGTGTTGGGCACTGTTCAAGGCATTTGAGTGTAATAACCCATTTGATCGTCATGGTGATCTGTGAGAGGGGGGTACTATTACTACCACTATTTTATAGGTAAGAAAACGGAGGCATCCAGAATGTGGGTAAACTGGCCGTCACACAGAGAAGAATAACAGTGGTGGGATTCCTCTTTGCAGCCTGATAGTGCACGTGTCAAATTGTACTCAAGCTTTGTATTAATGCAGGTTTTATCCAGATAGGATGAAATGTGGAAGTTTCCTGCATTCCCCAAACTGTGAATGAAGAAACGAATGCATCAATTTTGGATGACTGACCCATTTTAACTAATGCCTCTCCCCACCACAACTGTTCCAATTCAAAAGTTTTCCGGTTTTAAAAATCAAAATCCTACTTATATCATCCAAATATACATTCTAATTAGTGGGGTTGGAACTCAAGGTGTTTAAAAAAAAATTTAATTTTAAAGGGAGTTTTCTTTTTATAATTTCTATTAAAAAATTAAGCACCACCAAAAATCATTCTGCTTTAACATAATCTTTTAAAGCTAAAAGTTTAATAGAGGACTTAGTGAAATATAAACAAAGAAACACTTAAGTTGATTTAACTAATATCAACATTCTATTTTATATTATCTCATTTTATAATCAAGCATTTAGATAGACTAGTGAGAGTTTTCTAAAAATACCCACTGGATAAATTTCATTAAAAAAATATATATATCTCTGGTCTTCAGTTTATTTATTAAAAGCTATGTGGTCCTCTCTATAAGGTATATAAAAGAAACATTTACACACATCCTTATTGATGGCTCATTAATAGCACAAGCAACATTTTAAGGCTTGACACTTTTGGTGCATGATTATTCAGTTTTTCTCCATATATAGACACCACACCTTGTTGTCAATAAATAATTCCACTTTAATGGCAAAGTAATAATTTAGACAGATACAGGGTGCACATTTGCAAAAAAATATATGCAAGCTGGTTTACAAGCTAGAGGAACAATAAACCAATAGAAAATACATCATCCAGTTAAGTCCATTGACACCAAGTACTTATTATTGGGGCTTTACAAAGACTACAAAACTTTTCAGATGATTTATTTCACTGTTTCTGCCTATTTACATGATATGTTACATCAAAAATGTACAAAATATAAAATGTATACAGACAAATGTTTCACAAACTAGTTTAAGTTGTAAACTAGGTGAACCTACTGGGATGTATTGCAGGAACTTGAGTGTAAGATCATGTTTGGACTGTGTTTCTCAAAATGGCAGGGAAAGATTAGCAATTTCTTTTAGACCACATATCATACAAGGGCAACTAGTCACTCATCCAGCTACATATACCGATGTTTTACGACAGCTCTGATCCATGTTTGAGGCTTCAAAGTCAGGGTGACAATTCTATGTGCATAAATTCAGTTCAGATTTCCCTTAGGGCAATAGCACCGTGTAGGACCTATAGACTTAGCGACACTCTGAAAACAGCACAGATGTCTTGTGTTGTTATTGTTCTATAGCAACTGACCCACGGGTGGTCACAGAGGGTAGCACCAATTCACGTCCTGAAAGCAACCCATCTTCACGTGCCTAGAACAAGTCTACACCATGGCCTAGCCCTTTGGTTCGGAAAACTCAAAACCCCGCCCTCTGTGCGTGGTGGTAACTTCTCCCATGATTCCAATTGGTTTTCATGCACTCTCTTTAAAGCCTGCCACAACAGATGCTTTTCGGACATTTTTACTCTCCCAAAAACTTATTGGCTTCATGTACAGTTTTGAAGCATGCTCACTCTAGCACTGATCGCTCCTGCATCGTCATAACAACTGTAAATACAGGACAAACACACCAGATAATAACAGCTTTGAGGGTTTGCATTCTGTATTTGTTTGCAATGTACAGGAAATCTCAGCAAGTGAAACACCTCAACACCGACAGGATTAAAGTACATTTGTGTGTGTGTGTGTTTAGATTTGTGCAAGATTTTTAAAATGATTATTTACAATCCCTACCCAGTAGACTGTGCAAATCTAACCTTCTTTTACAGTATAAACGCTTCTTCCACAGTGACTTCACTGCTTCAGTGTTCTTTAATGCTGAATTTCTCATGTACAACGATAGCAATCAAAACGACATGCTCCAAACTAAGAGGAATAGTACGAATAATAATGAAAAGAGGAGGGGAGGAAAAGCCAAATAGTTGTGCTCATGTTGCATCTACTACTTCCAGCTCTGCTGGCTAAGAATTCCAAATCTCCCTCCTTCTACAACTCTTTTGCCTAGAACTGGATGGAGGGTAGCCACATGTCTTCGCTTTGAAGTGATGGTCAAAGAGGGTTTCCGGGCTAACTTGAACATTTTGGAGGAGAGGCGATCTATTCCCAAGGTAAAAATACTCTGATTTTTCTCCTATCCAATTCTTCCAAAAAAAAAAAAAAAAGAACCCCGAAACAAACAAACAAACAAACAAAAAAAAACCCCAAACAGATACCTAGAGATGAGGCTACTGTGTTAACTGGTGTTGCTTGGTTATAAAATGAAAAGACAGTGGAGATTACCAATGGTTTAGGATTTAAACCAACTGTTAAACTGTCGTAGAAATCTGTTTTAAGGCAGTGAGACAGCACCATAGGAAATGTCCCTTCTTTCACTGAAAAGGCTCCAACAAATAAAGCCCTAAGAAAGCCTTTTGTCAGTGTTGACTAATAATTGGTATAAAACTCTTGTTAAGGGAGTGGGCAGGTGGTTTAAAACAACCTTATAAAACCTGTGGTAAAAACAACCTTATAAAACCTGTGATCATACACGAGAAAGTTGGCGGAGCACGTCATGTGAATGTGGCAGTTAAGAATGACATTGGCACGTCTCCAGCTGGCCGTCGTCGTGTCTTCCTGGCGGTCGCGTAATTCCGCTCGTGCCGACGGAGGCCTGGCCTCTTGGCTTCGTTTTGGAATGGGGTGCGCGCACAACACAAACGCTGCTGGAGCCCTGTGACCAGCACCATGGCGCACGAAGGAGGTCGGACGGAGAAGAAGGGGCCCTGCTTGGGGGGAGGACGGCCCCTCCGAGGAAACGAAAGGGAGGGACAAAAAAGGGCGGCATTGTAAACTTTTAAAGAGGAAAAAAACAGAAAGTCCAGTTTGGCTATCCCGTGTGCAATCGGTTCAGTTGCCCTGTCTTTAGGGTCCTTTCCAGTTGAATAATGGAGCCGGACATCACTCCAAGGATATAAAAATGCCTAGACATAAAATAAAGTTAAGCTTCCGTTTCAGTTGAGCATCTTGGCGGTTCCAACTTAGTTCTGCTGCCTCCTCAGAGACCACGACTCTGGGTCAGGGCCCTCGACAGGGTGCTTTCATACTGGCAGTGGGTTAGTGAAAATACCTTACTTGTTAAACCTTTTGAAAAAGCATAGTCTCTTCCCCTAACTTCTTCCACCCTCTAGAGAGTGGATTCAAGAGATGAATCTAGAATGTCTTCATGGTGGCTGGTGCTATCGCTGTCACAGCTTTGTGTGCCCGAGTAATTGGCTGCTTCTTGGAGTTTCATTAGCATATTCATCTGAAGAAAGAAAAAGAGACATCGATGTAGGCAGTGATGCAGTGAGTGAGCCAGCCCCGCAAAACACTCGGCCCTGAGCCACAGGGAGGCAGTGCGCCTCATCCCATCCAAGCGAAACGGGAAAACAATTTCAGATTTGTATTCGTCGCCTCCGGCTCCTATCCCAGTTCTCCCAAACATGGCTACACCACCAAACCATAAGGACAGAATCGGGCCTCTAGATAGCTCTTTTATTTGGGGTTGTGAATGAATACGGCTCCAGCCGGGAGACGGGGAAAGAAACTCTACCACAGCTGGACATCTGGGCTCGTTGCAGGAGAGCACGCCAAGCTTCCCGGCTTTTTGGCGGGGAGAGGCAGAAAGCACTGAACGGCAAGTGAAAGTCAGGAAGGCTCGTACACACACAGGCGCGCACACAGGCGGGCGCGCGCTCCCCCGAGGGAAGGAGGGGTGGGGTGGAATGAAGCCAGCTGCTGCACACAGGCGCACCATCTGCTGCTTAGGAGCTGACCTCGAAGGAGGGGATTGAACGAAGCGGACCATGAGTGCTTGAAGAGGGAGAGGGAAAGAATCACTGTCAAGTTTCTGTTGTTGTTGCATTTCTGGCTAAAATATGATTGATATATCACTGAAAACAAAAGCCACCTTCTGGAACAATAGCAGCTGTCTCGGGTTTCCCAGTGGATAGGACAATGGTAATGTTTGTTCCAGGAGAAGGGACATACGCGTGAAGGCACCTGGGGAGAAAGACAGCTAACGTGTCCATGTACTACAAAATAAAAGGCAGCCACCTTGCTTGGCTTTTGATAGATCCGCAGATCCACCGTTAGAGAAAAAAGACTGTTTAAAAGCAAATTGTGGATACACTGTTCAACGATTTTAGAAAGTGCAGGAAAACTGGCACAAGTCTTCATGAAAGGAGTAAGACTTGTTTTCTTGTCAAGGGTTTCTAGAAATTGTCCCTCATGGGGCTCCCTGCTCAGCGGGGGGATCTGCTTCTCCCACTGACCCTCTTCCCTCTTGTGCCGTCTCTCGTTCTCTCTCTCTCTCAAATAAATAAATAAAATCTTTAAAAAATTAAAAAAGGAATTGTCCTAATCTCTATGTTGTCTAATGCATAGTAATTTTATTATTTTATAAAGTAATCCCAGTTGTTTTTTTTTTTTCCCAAATTAGAGAACTGGAGAATCCGATCCAATAAAAAAGAGAAATCTAAAAAAAGGATTCCTTAGGCATATATATGTTAAGCTATGGACGCTTGTGTGCTCGGTGTAAAATGCGTGTTCAATAAACGTTTGTGAAATCGATGATAAACTGGTAATCACCAATTTTAGCAAGCGTGCCTCTCTTTAAAATATGCTACAGTGATAGCATACTTTAAAGTCATTTTAATATTCTTCAGGACAGTATTTTTCAACATAATTGTTAGTCTAACTCTCTGAATTTATTAAATCAGCTACATACAGATATGAAATGAAAATAGTTAGTGACAACCTCTCAAACCCCATAAGGCAAAAAGCCAAATGTCTCCATCAACACGTACTTTCTCTCTCTCCCTGTCTCTCACCCACACACCCCTCCCTTCATGCACGTTCATATTGCCTCCCCCCTTTCCGATGTCAGTTCCTCCGTCAATAGTCGCTGGCTGTATGTTCAAACATTTGGGTGGAAGATCATTTGTAAAACACAATTGTGTGCTGAGTGTCCTCCTGATTTACTAAGAGCAGAAATTGTAAATGAGGTCTGTTTAAAGGGGTATGATTCTAACCTCAGTCACAAATGTTTGAAATCACTTGAATGCTGAATGTTGTAAAATTTTTATGGTATAACAGAAGTGTCATTAAAGTCTTAATCTTTGAAGATGGTGCCATACAGAAAATATGCTTTATTAGAATAAGTTCCAAGTCTTAGATTCATAATAAATGTACACACGAGATTTAATTTGCCTTCTCATAGTGTTGCTTTGTGCATTCAAGTCAAAGGGGATTACAAGAGGGGGCAAGGTTAAAATATGACCCAAAAGTCACTGGGATAGATCGTTATTCTCTGCAAAAGAATGTCCCTCCTCTCCTCTCCTCTGCCTTCCCCACATCCATAGTCATAAATATAACGTCCATCATTTGTAACACGTTGCTCAGGTCCTTATCACCCCTGCTGTTACCAATCTGCTGGACTCCCAGCCTCCATTCTCTTCTTTAATCTATCTTCTGCTCTGTTACCAACGGGATCTTTATAACCTGCAAATCTAGCTTAAGGTAAGTCCCCTGCCCAAACACCTTTGATAGCTCCTCATTATTGGTGTGATAAAGTTTTAACTTCCTACAGAGATAAACAAGCCTCGGCACAATCTAGCAATTGCCGACTCTTGTAGCTCTAATTCTTCTTGCCCTTTTTGTTCTAGTCCCATCAATCTGCATATAGCATTTTTATTCATAATCATTTTTATTACCCTATTCTACGTTTCACCTGCTGCTTCCTTAATTTTGGACATCCTCCATCCAACCACATGATGAACTTTTATCCTTCCTTCCAGACGCAGCTCAAGAATCTCTGCCTCTATGAAGCTTTCTCTTAATCACTTCCTCAATGGACTCACAACTTTATCGAGCATGTGACTCTACCATTATTTTACTGTAATTTATATAGGTAGATGTCTCCACTAATGAACTGTGAGCTTCTTGAGATCAGAAATATTTTATTTATCTTTTTATTTATCTACCAGGTCTTAGCCTTGAGGACATACTTATTAATACTTGTTGAAAGAATGAAATGAGTTTGTTGATGATGAATAAAATACTATGAGATGCACCAACAACTTGTATCCTTATTCATAGCCAACATATTTCTGACATTAAATAGTGGATTTTTTCCAAATATTTTTGATTTAGATTGGATGGCAAATATATTTTTACTTGATGCCAGTAGCTATGGGATGATAACAAAATAAAAGCAGATGGAATATTTATTTTCTTATCAGAAGGTGCTTGATCCAAAGATTTACTTTTAGATGATAATAAGTCTTTTGCTATTTAACACGCCATAATCCCGTTTCTTAAGATGTTTAGTTGAGCAGCCATTTAAGTCAGATTTTTTAACCCCAATTTTCATTCAGAATGGGAGACTCTGGATCTCTTTTCCATACTAGAAGACAAGAGCTTTCAGAGCCAGGGAAGAGTGCTGGATGGGTTTAGCTGATCAGGACTATGGGAACTGGGAAATTGAGGGCATCCCCTAATGGTCCCTTACTCGACAGTTTAATTCTCAAAACAAACTATAAAACCTCTCTTTAACCTGGAACAGACACAGTATATCAACACGCAAAGGCAAGACTAGAGTTTATAAAATTCAGATGTAATAACCCATACTTGTATCCTAAAGTTTATATTTACTCTGTTAAATACTAAACCATTCTATCAGCAATTAATTAGTATTTGCTCACAATTATGCTGCATCCAAACCAATTCCTCCACCACTGTTTATTTCAAGTTATGTATGAGCTAAAGGGCCTACTACCTGTTAGAAAAAGAAAGGTCCAGTCCCTTAAGGATTTTACAGTCTAGAGCAAAAGCCCAATATAGGAAGTCCTATATTGTTCTCTGGACTCTAAGCAGGCCTTTGTATATACTTCCATGACTCTACAGAGCCCTTTGAAATAGCATGCACAATTTTCTGTGTGTGTGTGTGTGTGTGTGTGTGTGTATGCCTTTTGCTGTGGAAAAGATCTTAAAAATCTATCAGCTTGTTTACATGTAACCCCCAAAATATTAAGACTGGTCAGCTGAGATGATAATGTATATATGTTGGGTTGTGGGCATAAGAATATTCCACAAAATGTCAAGTCATTTTATGTTCTTGGGTATAGTCATAGGTTATGATTTTTAATCATTTCTTTTTTGTTTTAAATAACATAATGGCCTTTATTTCAGTATCTTTTCTTTCTGTATTGATTGTACAAGTCCAGTGATTTCTTTAGCCATAGAATGGTAAGCTAATAAAGGCATTACACCTGACACCAATCTATATAAATTCATCCATAAACATGAAAAAAATACATAAAAAACAAAATCTTTTTCCAATAATACCACTTACTTAATATTCTCAGAGTACTCATAGTTTGGAGTTTTACCGACCTTTCTTAAACCATATAGAACTTCAAATTAAGAAAGACGGGGAGAATCAGAGGGAATAACTTCCCTTTGATTTCCAAGTCAGTTTAGTCTTCTCTACTGTAGGCAACAAAAGACTAACTGTAAGTCTAGTCAGACTAGTTGATATATGTAAAAGATTCTTTAGTTCTCCAAGTGTACATTAGATTATATTCTTTTTTTTAAATGTAAGAACAAAATTCAGTTTTCTCTTAAATACCAAGTGAAGTGAGTCATGTAATGTTGAAGATTTATTAATTTATTTACATAATTTTCTGTATAATAAGATAAGAATTATGGTCACAGAGTTCAGCCTGGTTTTAGTGTTTCTTGATTGTTAAGCATACAAGTTTGGTCTTTCATTTTTAAGAATTTTCCCCGATGAAAGTAGGCCAAAGGCAAAAGAGTTAAAAACTGAATACCTATATCAGAACAGTTCCAAATACCACCTAAGATAACTAGTATCTTTGATACAAGTGACTAAATATTGATGACCACACACCGTAGTTAAGATAATATTAGAAGACTCACACATCAGCTTCTTACCAGAGGATCCCCTTCTGTGTCACTCTGTGGAATGTGCTTCGAGGTTGTGGCTTCCTTAGTGGCTACGCAGCCCTCATACCCAACATCTTCTGGTCGCAACTGAAGTAATGTTGGACCATCCTGAGGCAGAGATGCTGAGCTCCATGGGTATGTGTCAAGCACCCACTTTGAGGGGTCTTCCCAAGGTGCCCGTTTCCCATACATCTAAAAAATGATCACATATCTAATACATATCAAATACATTTCTATTTGGTAAAACAGGTGACCACTAATTGAGTGATTCCTTTGCACATTGAGTCCTTTCAAGGGAATTGGGTCCATATACAATTTTCCAGATTGTAAATATATGTCTGTCTGCATAACTCTCTTTCAACTTGAAGGAGAAATAAAATAAAGATGAACATCTGCGATAGATGGTCAGCATTTGGGAGAGAGTACGAAGGGGGTTTATTTTTTAAATGCATATAGAAATCGCTGCTCATATTTACCCTTATTAGTAATTTTATAAACCAAAAGAACACTCACAGTTGAGGAAGAAAAGTTCCAGTGATGGAGAATTGAAAAAAGCTATGCTAGACACTAAATAGAGTTCTCTACTAAAGTGCACTTTGCAAAGATGATAAATAAAATAAGAGCCTTTTTCTCCATCAACCTCACTCTACTCAAATTTTCTTTGAAAATAAAAATACTTTCTCTGATAATCATTTTCTCCAGATTAATTTCCTCTAATAATCTCATTGCTTCCTGTAAAAATTCTTTTTAGATGTTTATTTATAAGGCCAGCAGTAAAAGAAGAGGAAAATGGGAAATGGAAGCATTAATGTTGTCAGGACTCAAATGGAAGCAAAGAGTCTGTAAGAAAGAGATCATAATGGCTAAAGTACTGGTAGTGGAGGAGAGGGGAGAAGGTAAATGAATATAAGACATGTTGAAAGTTTTTAAGCTGGAAGCAAGATTGAAACCAAATTAGGAAGGGCTCACTGCAGAGGCGGAGGTGGAATGGACTTTGTAAACAAGTACAAGGCTGCTGGGGAACAGAAAGAAAAGCTAAAATGCAGGGAGGGGCACCTGAGTGGTTCAGTGGGTTAAGCGTCTGCCTTCTGCTCAGGTCATGATCTCAGGGTCCTGGGATCAAGTCCCTCATCGGGCTCTCTGCTCAGCGGGGAGTCTGCTTCTCCCTCTCACTCTCCTTCTGAGCTCTCTCTCTCTCATTCTCTCAAATAAATAAAATCTTAAAAAAAAAAAAACTAACTAAAATGCAGAGAAGAGGGCAGTAACGTGGCCAAACTAGGTCTTTGATATACTTCTGTCCTGCCTTGACCTGCTCCTCCTTCCCTCTTGCAATCCTGGTTCCCAGGTGCCTATTTGGTCTCAGATAGCACACTGTGAGGTGTTCTACATGGCTTGTTGGCTTGTTGTGGTTCAGAGACAAAAGCAAAATGGTGGATACTGACACCACAAAAGGCATATGGATTGCCTTGGAGTTATCTTTTGGGTTTCTCCTGGAGGAACTGTATGAGGTTGTGTCAGCCTTGCCTTGAGTAAAAGAGAAAGAGAAAAAGAGAGAAAGAGAGAGAGAGAGAGAGAGAGAGAGAGAGAAAGCAAGCCAGAAGGCCAGGTCCTGGTATCTGTGTATTCCTTGGGAGATAATGGCAGGAGTAGCAATCACTAGATTTTTTTTTTTTTTTTATGGCTATCTTGTTTTGGAGCAAAAGTTTTCTCTCAGTTAAAAACCTACTTTATATAGCTTATAAGACATTGCTTGCTATACAACTTAAGCTAATTGAAGGAAAATGTGTAATTCTTGGAATGTCAATGTTACAAAAAGAATATGAAGGTCTAGAATCAACTGATGCCAGCCTTTTAAAGAATCATCAAGGACAGCAAGATTGGAGGTGACCAAATGCTAAATAGGTCCAATTTGAAATTTCAGTGTAAAATAGATATTATAGAAAAATAATTGGAAAGATTTAAATATTAAAATAGTATAAAATAATAAACTATTAAATATTTAAATATTTAGAATACTATAAATTGATTGTTGACTTTTCAGTAAAGGTAGAATCACCAGAATAAAACTCAGAATCCATTGTGTCGCCAGTGTTTTTTTCCAACTAGAACATCTGACAGAGAGCATTCCCTACATGGTTCCTCATCAAAGCATTCATTTGAAAAGAGATTTTTCTATTCCTCTCAACTCAGATTTTCATCTTTGCAATCAGGCTTTTTTTTTTTCATCTCTTGCTCCAATTCAAGGTTCTTTGTTACCAGTAGATCCAAAGGAATGGTTCATAACACACATGATTCCTTTTCTTCCTTTTCTTACAGAAAACATCTATGGACCATCCCAGGAATATCATCTGCCAATGGACTTCTGGCTGAGCACATCCTTCAGTAGCAATGAGAACTGTCTACCCACCAGAGGGTTTTCCTTTCTTATCTCTCCTGTGTGCTGGATTTCCCCCCTTACTCCCTACATCATGGTTGACTCAGCATTTACACTAACCTACTACTAAACTTCTAGAACCACAGCGAGAAACGAGACATTTTTATCCTTCTTCAAAAATAATTTTGAAATACCTCTCAGTTTTAGTCTGGGAAACTGGTATTACTCTAATGGTTATACTTTCACCTAAATTATAATTCTCAGGATAGTGTTTTATAAATAATATTGATTTAAGTATTTTAAAAAAGAACTGATGCAGTTTTAAAAAATGAGACTTAAGGAAGTTAAGCATTGTTAGGTATTACTGTTTTTGAGTTTGTAAAATCTTCTTTTTCTTTATCTGTATTAGCGAACACATATGAAATAAAGAGGATTTTATATATAAAGACTTGGATGACAGCTTATTAATACTGAAACTGTATGAAGACAACCTTCATTTAAATATTAGTTTTAAAAATTATGACTTCTAGCATATTATAAATTTTCACACAAATTTTTTTGTATAAAATGATTGAAATTGAGAGACTCAGCTCACATCTTAGCATAACAGTTTCAGAGGAACCCAGAAAAGTGAGATGTTATACTTAAAAAATAAAAACCTTTGGTATATTTATATTTTGTTGGACCCAAACAACAACTGGGGCTAGATTGGCTCATACCCATCAAATATGAAATCGTATTACTTAAATCTGGAATAAAACCAGTGGACAGCATGTTCTAGGATCAGTATCTCTGAACATCCTCAGCGCATCCACCTAATATTTATTCATCATGTTCACCAGAACCATCATGATGGTTCTAAATACTGCCCTTCTGTTCTACTAGGTGAGGAGAGTGTACTGGTCAAAGGAAGGGAAAGGAGGGAGTATCAATAACCAGTGTCTTTTTAAAGGGTAAAGTACTTAACACAGTATTGCAGATGACAAAATGTGAAAAGCAAGAACTATATCTTAATCCTAGTAGCAGCTGTGATAATCAGAGATAGAGATGCCTAAGCAAAAACTTCCTAAACTTTGGCCGAGTTGTTGAAAAGATTAGATTCTTTTTCTTTTACAGTAAGTTGGATGATTAAGCAGTAAAAATCTTAAAGATTCAACCTTGAGTTTTACAATTCTACAATTTCATGAAATCTCAAATCCAATTTAAGGAGATAGTATATTTTGTTGAAGAAACAAAATTTTCTTATTAATGATGTATTTTGACTTTTTCATTAAGAGTACATAGAAGAGACAGCATAGGCCCTCATGACATAAGGTAGATGAGAGGAACAGCAGAGATGCTGCTAAACCAACCTGCCATAGATCTTAAAAAGTCAACTGCCTTAGAATTTAGAGCATTCCCTCAAAATAGTAAAGGATCTTGCAAGTGATGTTAAACGGCTTCAAACAATGAAACATACTAAAAACAGGGAACCCGTAAGCAAAAACTACTTGTTGCAAACTATACGATAAGAGAATAAATGATCAAGGCCCATGTTAACATGTCTGTCTTATAAGATATAGAACTGTCTAATTAACTGGCTATCAACTGACTGCTATTACCCATGGCAATAAGTTAGTTTGGCCTTAAATGGGTAGTTGTTGGAGTAAAGGTTTTCTCCTTCTTCTGTATATTTATTTTCAGAACAGAATATACAAATAAATAAAGTGTTGCATACTAGTTGATTTTTAAAACTTTATTAGTATATTTATATAGTTCATGCCTTCAGTTTTCTGTATAAATACCCAGAGAGAAGAATGTTTTTTGCTTTAAAGGATGATTTTGCTTGTTTTTAAACAGTAAAGAAAATTGAGTACTATACCTGAAGACCTTCTCTCACTGCCTCCAGAATGTAAGGTACCAAAGAATAGTTCCAGAGATCCATGAACCACACTCTAGAACCTTCTACATCCATAGGACAAGGAAGGAAAAGTCGGGGGCCTAAGAAGAAGCAAACCATTTTGAGAACCGTTACATGTAACAACCTAAACACACAAATACTCAAGACATCATTTTGGGGGAATTAATAATATGTCTTGCAGGATTCTTAAACAATTACAATCTTGACCAGTTTGACTATTATCAAAGTATGTTTTAATGAAGACTCAATCTCCTGAACTCTCCTTCCTTTTACCCTAAAATCTTAATCTTGAACATAACATATTAGAGTTAAGAGAAACCTTAAAGGTCATAATCCAGTCAACCTGCCCCATTTTATAGATGATGAAACCATGCTGAACTAAACTGCCAAATATAAAATATGTTATTATTTGCAGAGTGGCACTCAGCCTTGGTCTTCTGATCTCAATTGGAAAATTCTTCTTTTTCATTTACCTTGTATCTTTGGTGAGTACATCTTTATAATCCATCACAATGGGAAAGAGACTTCTATACATGCAATTTAAGAAGGATTAGAAAAATAAACATCTTTATGCCAACTAAAGAGAAGTAATTCAGATTTGCCTTAAGGAAAAGTATGAAACACCTCTGTTATCCATAAAACACCTAAATTATTTCTAACTAAAATCTTCTCTCATGACTATATTTGATGTGAGCCACTGGCTCACATTTGTTTTTAGCATAAAAAGAGACTTTAAACAGATATAAGTTATTTCAAATGGTTATCTGATCTTTAAATATGTATCTATATTAAACTCACGTGATTTCAGTCAAATCTCGGTAAACCATAATAGTCAGGCAAAATGAATCTAATCAGACATGTAAAGCCTAGAAGAAGGCAGACTTTCAGAAGGAAAAAAGAAAACTCAAATCTTTGGGAGCCTGAAAGAAAATGAACTTTACTTGTTATTTTCTACCATCCAATCTGGTCATCGTTACCACATACCCTTAGGTCCTGGAAAATAGCATAGTGCAGTTTTGGAACTCACCAATGGTAACATCAGAAGAACTGTGTGTTTCCAAAAAACTGTTGAGATGATGCCATGTCTTAGGAATCCAATCTATAATTTTGACTAAGTCATTATTGCGTATGTTCCTTTCAATCTCTATCTCTATCAGTTTCCTTCGAAGATATCTGCCTAAAAAGCCTTTCACTGGTTCTGTGTGGTTCGCGCATAGCACCCACCTACCAAAAGACAAAACCATACGTAACAAAACAAAACCAGAAATCTTTAAATAAATTAAGTTTTAAGTCCACAGTATTCTCTTTCCAATATAAATGAAGAATATTCCCATGTCAATTGGTGGCTCCTTTTAATGATCAAAGGGGTTAGGAGATCTATTAGCATTCAAGGTATACAATATAACTAACTTTTCTTTTTAAGCTAAAGTGAAGCTCATGTGCGTCAGAAATGAGTGGGAGTCTACATGCTGAGTACTCTTCTGTAGGAGAATCACAAATCCTGAAATAGGAACTCTCTTCACATTCCTCACACTTTGAAGAAAAGTGCTCTACTTTAGCTGGTGACACAGTGAGCAGGACAAACATTTCTTTCCTTTCCTTCCTTTTTTCTTTTCTTTTTTTTTAAAGAAACACTTCTGATTACAGGTTGAGGATCACAAAATGTCTGCTTGAGAAAGAGTGTCAGAAGAAGTGAGAATTATTTTCACACTACAGGTCACTACTGGCAGGATATGTCAATGTACAAATGGAAAAACACTAACCAAAAGCAAACAGAAAGAGACAATACAAACAAACAAAACAAAACATTCAATTTATCTTTACCTGAAATTGTGATGCAGCTCTAGATTTGGTGATGAAGAAACTCCCTGATTCATTGTTCCAATAATATATGGACTGGAAAATAAAATAAAATATGTAGATGTGCTGAAGGTAATAGAGATTAGTCTATTAAAATTGCCTTAAAAACAATGTAGGTAAATATGGATTATTCCATTTTAACATTAGGCTTTAAAAGGGTAATTTTGTAATGTTAGGTTGAAAAATGACAAAGATCCTTGAGCTGGAAATTTGGATTTGGGGCTCTAATTTCAGCTCTAGCATCCTAGGAGAATCATTTTACCTTTCTAAGCCTGAGTTTACTTATCTATAAAATAAAAAGGCTAGATAGAATAATCACAGGATTATCCAATCTCATTCTAACATCTTATGAATCTTATGATTATAATAAAATTCATTAATTTTTCCTCTTTTCTTATTTCATAGATATTTTAAAGTTTCTTAATGACATGAGAAAATTTGTAGTTTTGTTTCAATGCTGATTTTATGATGATCCACTTTTAACATTTAAAAAATCTCTAGCACAGATTATTTGGGATATTGTACCATTAAAACTAATACTTAGGTTGCTCTTATAGGTCCTTCCTTTAGAGGCCATACTATAGTGAATCTTTAGTGAGTTTTCAGATTTTTTTATACCCTACTTCAAGCTTTACTTTCATTGTAAACAGTTAAAAATTAGACTCATTAATGGAGATATATCTGAATGCATTACATTTATCTTTATAGGAAGGGTGAATTTAAACTTTGATATGCAGTAAAAATGAAACCAGAGCTCTTCTTAATTTCCTTGATCCAAACATTCTGTCATTGACATTGGTCTCCCAGACCTTCTGCATATCTGTAGAAGCTAACACCATCAAGTAAATCATGTTTCATTAAGTTACCTGGGAAATAATTGTTGAATGACTAAATAGATGTTTCAAGAAATGCACAGGGGTTTTTTTGGAAATATGTTATAATATTAATGAAAGCTTCTCAAATTAATGGCATCCACCATTGGTTTTAAAAGGTATAAAGACATAAGAAACAAATTTGATCATTTTTTCATATTTTATCACTCAAAATATTTCATAAGCATACCATTTGTTGTATTTACAGTTGAGAAAACCATTGAAGATATCACTCAAAGAGCCCACATGATGAAGATTATCAAGGATTATTACAACAGGGAGTTCTACACCATTATTATCAGCACTGCACTGTTCAGCCAGGTTAGCTAGATACTGTTGCAACTCCTTGAAAAAAATAAAGAAAACAAATACATCAATGATAAATTTATACCAATGGCAAGCAATTCATAGTTTAGGAACAGCACACTTTGCCATTTCGGTATCTTTGATTAAAACCCATAGGTCATTCCAATGATATAAAACAAAGCAAAAAATATAATGCTGAGAGGATATATTTTTTAAAGAAAAGAGCAAAGAGAAAAATCAGTACAGAAGAGCTGCAGCAAATATAAAATTGTGAAAACAAAAGCATGTTTCTCAGTTGTTGTCTCCCCTTAAAAAAAGCAAAAAAAAAGGAGAGTGGGGGGAGTGAGTTCTGGATATGAGCTCTTACAATGAATCACAAATACTGAGACTTGATTCTTGCTTTTAGTATTACAATGATAAAAGTGGATTTTAGCAAACCTTATGATAAGTCCAAAATGGCACACCTAAGTTTCCACTAATACTTTAAATGTTTTAATTCCAATTCATTTCAATAGGGTGCATGAAACCACAGCCCCAGGACCTGGACAGAAGTATGGTTATTATTTATAATTTGTATGCAACTTCTGTGATTTTAAACAAATATAAAATTTGTTATATTTCCCTGGGTCACTTGACATTAGCATTTAGCATTTCTTGAGCTTCTTGGTTTTTTTCTACAGGTATTATTCCTTTCTAATAGCTTTTAATCTAAATATGATAACCAGTTCACTGACTGACTGCTCTCACAGATGGGTAGGCCAGACACATAATTAGGATTCTTAAAATTATCCTAATCAGTAAGAGCATTTCCATAATATTTGCATATTTACAATGACATTTTCAATTTGTAAATCTTCCTCAGGGTTAAAAAAACAATTCCATGATTCCAATTTCTAGCAGCCAGGTGAATACATGAACCACTCACCCTAGAGGCCTCCTCTTCATCTGTAATACTACTTTTAGAACTAAAGGCAGAAAAGGATCGGGCCAGGGTTTTGAGGTATTTAGTAATATATTCATTTAAGTTTAAATATAAAATTTATTAGAAAACTAATGCACAGTATATCTTACATTGAGCCAATCACATTGAATAAATATAGCCTACATCAGAGAATACAGAAAAATACGTTTAAAATAATGAATAGTCTGGAGAATTTCATTTATCTTAAAAGACAAAAATGGAATTTATATCAATAATCTACCCATATTGTCATTCACTCATTCATAAAACATTGACTGCCTATCTTCTATGTTCAACACTCTAGACAATCCCCTGAGGTGTACAAAAATAATGGATCATCGTTCAAGTTAGTAAGTTTAACATGAATTATGAACTGAATCAAGTACTTTTCTGGGCATAGGGGTTAAAAAGTCTTCCCTTGTAGGCTTTAAGATGGTCACATTAAGTACTAAAATTTAAATATGATAAATCATTTGAATACAATGTCATAGTATATTAGGAGCTATGAGAGGTCGGGGAGGGGATTTTGCCTAGGTGGTAGATATCAAGGAAAGCTTTCTAGAAAAGGAAACGCTGGAGCTTGGGAGGGTGATAGGTACATACATAACTAATAAATGTACAAAATGCAATGTAAAATATCCCATGAGAGAGGTTAAAAGAGAGCCGTGGTCTTTAGGAAGAAGAAAGATTACTTCGAACTGGGGGATCCTGATGGACATATAGCGAGGTGGAATTTGAGATGAATTCTGAATAATGAGAATTCCAAATGATAATTATGCAGTTATTTATCCTTTCAAAACACCTTAGCAAGCACTTATTATGTTCCAGGTACTCTTGGCACTAAGGATTCAGAGATTATTTCTCCATTCCAGGAATTTAGAGTTGATAAGGAGAGGTCAACAAGTAAATCACAAAAACAGTGTGGTAAGTGAAATGCACAAAACACGTTAGGGAAACTTAAGAGAGGCCCCTCATCCAGACTTGTTCAGAGAACAGGGTACTTGGGGACAAACTATTGAAGTACAAATAATAAAGAGTGGAAGCTGGAAGGTATGAGTGTGTGATGCGTTTGGGGAAATAATAAGTGCTCCGTTGTTACAAAAGAAATTGTACATGGTAGTGGTGGTTGCTACGAAAAAGAAAATAGACTTTGAATCCATGCAGAAAAATTTGGATCTTTCTATATAAACAAATGTGAACCATCTACTTGTTTTTTTTTTCAGTAGGGAAAGAGCAATTTATCAAATGAAACATAAATATGAAGGAAATAATGATTAATTAGAAATGGAAAAAGCATTCAAGAAGCTTATTGCCCAGAATAGTGGGTTACATGAGTGTGTGTGTGTGCACGCATGTGCGTGTGTAAAAAAACCAAACTGTAATTCACAATAAAAAAACAATGTATGTGGGTTTCCTGGGTGGCTCAGTGGGTTAAGTGTCTGCCTTCAGCTTATCCCAGGGTCCTGGGATCGAGTCCCGCATCGGGCTCCTTGCTCAGTGGGGAGCCTGCTTCTCCCTCTCCCTCTGCCCCTCTGGCGTGCGCGCTCTCTCTCTCTCTCTCTCTGACAAATAAATAAAATCTTTAAAAAAATAATGTATCAAAAAAGCATACACCAAAGATTTTGTTCAGAGTGTGTAAACCTTACTTGTACTGCTGGGAAAGATTTTCTGGTGGTAGTATTATTTGCTAATAACCTTTTATTTTTAGGATTAGGTAATGTTTTGATGCTTAAAAATGGAAGAAGAGCTTTCCAAATAGAGGGAAAAGAATAATCAAAGGCATAAATACAAAAAATGTGGTAGGAAAGAAACTGATAGTATATCTTTTGTGAATATAAATGTTAAGTAAGTTGGAAAGAAGAGTTTGCAACCTGGAATGATTTGAAAGGTTACTGGACTTTTCCCGTTGGCAACAAATACTGAATGTTCTGTCTGGGGTTCTGAGTAATATAGTCAGAATCATGATTTCAAAGTTTGGTAAGTATATTGTAGAGGAGGAAGAGAAACCGTCAAGAGAATAACAAAACTGTTAAAGCCAAGAGACACTATCGGACTCAATAGCGATGGTAGAGGTGTGGGAAGATTTTGACTTAGTACAGAAAGCAATGGAAAAATGTTGCAGGATTTAATGCAGTCAGACTTTAATAATGAAAGGATACTCTATTTTCCATGATAAATCAGAAAGAGAGAGAAGGAAGATTTAACAGAAGTTGTGAATCAAGCAGTTAGAAAACAGTTATGGTCATCCAAGTGATAGTATTAATTTCGGTGGGAGGGTGGCAGTAGCAGAGATGGATGGAAGAAGATGGATTTGGTATTTTTTCAGAGTTGAAACTGGGTTTTCTAAACATGTGTACTTAGTATGCTAATAGAGACATGTGTATGCTAAGGGAAAGGCCTACTATTCAGAAGAGTGGGCATGGCTTACAGCGTCCAATTGGAGTCAATATAAATTGAAACCAGGGGAGTCATCCAGGTGAGAACAGAAGTGGGAGAGAACAGAATGTTGCATCATATTTTCATTTACCAGTAGGTGAAGGAAAAACCGTCAGTGGATGAGACTGAGAAGAAGGTTGCTGGAGGGTAAGAAGGAAACAGAGAACGATAATCATGAAAATTAGAGGAATTTCTAGAAAGAGAAGGTTACCTATAGTGATTTTCTATACATAAGCAATAAAAGAAACAGAGAGAGAGACAGAGAAAAGAAGCAAAGGACATTGAATTTGGTAATTAAGACATCACTGAGTGATTTTGGAAAAGTAGGGCCATTCGATTCTATGATGATTCTCTCTCATCTTGAGAAAGGTAGTAGACCTCTTTGGGAATCTTATGAAAGCTATGGACCAGTTGCAAGTGGACATAGGCATACACAACTAATTTTGGCATACAACTTAAGAGTTTTCCTCAGACCCCTTTGAAATCACTTTATAATCCCCATTGTCGCTTCATTGGGGTTAAATCTTAGATTGAAGTACTGAGGCATTAGCATTAAAAGTTTCATGTCCAAGATCTAATTAGGCAAAAGAAAACAGGTACATCTACCAGATGGACACTGATAATGAGATGAATCCCATACTCGGAAAATATACAGAGAACTCGGCAGTTCTATAAAAGCTGTTGATCACTGCCTTCTCTGGCTTTGACTCTAGACACAACAAAAATGAGTCTGCCAAGACCAATTTTCTGATCTTTTCCTACCTAACATTCCAAGTGTTTTCAGCTGGCCACATATTATTTACTGAATCCATCTGCAGCCTTCTGGGCCCGCTATATCAAATGTCACAAAGTGCAATTGTGTGTGTGTGCTGCTCTTGATCAAACTATTCCAGCCGGCAGCTTGAGGAGCAGGAAGAGGGACAGAATGTAAAATGCAGAGGTACCAAAGATTTTTTTTTCATTTGATGGTTTTATTGTTCGTTTTTTTTTGTTTTTGTTTTTTGTTTCTTTTTTTGAATCAGTAAGTGCTTTTTGGCTTTGTCTCTTTGGTGCTAAATACGGCCTAGCATAATGCACGTCCACCATTACATGGCTTCCTTTTCCAGGGATGGGGTTTATCACTTCATGCCTCACTCACACTTTAGTAAAGCTACACTGCGAGCATCTGTCCCTCAGACAATCTCAACTACTCATCCCCATTCCTTTATACCATTCTCACTTACCTCCCCCTCACCTCGCGCCACACATAAAGGGAAAGCAAAGCAAAGCAAAGCAAACAACCAAAACCACTGTGGATTCTCTGACAATTTGGCAAGAAGTGGCTAAATTCTCTAGCAACTACTGTATCCAGCATCACTGACAGTTCATTCATATCTTAGAAAGAAACAATAAACGTTTGTTAGTTGGATTTTGTGTTTTCGTGGTGCCAAACACCACATGATTTGTCCAGGGATTTTTCCTATTACTTCTTCCTAGGATCATTAATTCTGTTCCAACGCTCTTGGCAATGCTTTGTTTTTCATTATTTTTGTAATAACAATCACTAAGCTAACCTGTTAACGACACAAGTGATTTTATTCAGGAAAAGAAGAAAATAAGAGTGTTGGAAATGTTTGGTCACAATCTTTTTTTAAAAGATTTG